GGGCTGGGGGGGGGTCGCGGAATCCGGCCGCAGAGGGCAGCTCTGCGGGGAAAGGACAGGACTTCAGCGCAGGCTGGGCCGGGGGACGGCGGGCGGGACGGGAGCGGGGTCCGCACCCCCGGCCGCGGGCTCCCCGGCAGCGTGAGCTCTCCAGGCAGGGTGGCTGTCGAGCTGAAAAGCAGCAGATCTGCCTAAAATCTCACCAAAAGTGGGGTTCAAGCCTGGTTTGAGGAGCAGTACCTCCCGCCGCTCCTCCTCTGAAATGCCTCTGAATATGCCTCTGAATAGATCCCTTTGACAGGGTCTCCGAAGACCTGCTGAGAAAACTCCAGAATGCGTGTGTGTGTGTGTGTGTGCGCGCTATCTGTAATTTTAATGGTAGTGAAATGATCTAAAAATATAGTCGCAGAGGCAACTCAACTCGAAATTTAATTATCGGGGTCAGTGAAAGTCTGGGGTCCCTCAGCCCTCCCTGAAGGAGGCGGGAACTCGGGCTGCCGAGCCCTTTGCCGGAGGCACCTGCGGTTCCTGACCTCACACAGATGCGTACTGAGGCGTCCTGCTCTCAGCACGTCTAAATGAGCTGAAAAGTTTCGTTCCTGTGATGTCATTGAGTATTTGGGAGCACAGAAAAGGAAGGACTGGACCCTATTCTTACCCAGAATTAGGAGTCACAGAGTATTTCTGCTTACTCCAAAAGCAGCGGCTCACTATTAACCACAACAGGGTTCATAAGAGCAATATTCTTAGGATGGTTGGCAAAACAGTTCCTATATATTTGCTTCCATTAGCTTTCAATCAAACTTTAATGTCAACTAGAGAAGAAAAAACCAAAAAGTGGTCGTTGGCTCTTTCAGAGGGAGGGATATGTGCTTTCTGGAATATACGTTGTGGGTGTCTACACTGATATTCTCTCTTGTACACCTTCAGCAATTACTCAAGAAAGCTTCAAAGTCCCATTCCATAATGCTTATTAGTTGAAATGGGAAAAGAAGCAATGTGCTCTACCATATATTCCTTATGGACATTCATACGGCTTTTAGAAACAAGTGTTTCTAGATACTAGCATCTATTAATATCATAACTAATTTTATCCCATTGTATCTGTAAGGTTTACTACATTGTACCTGGTGGTTGACACCTATGAGATAGCATATGTTAATGTGGCCATAGGGGGTTAATTAAACTACTAGAGAAGGGAAAAGGAAGGCAAAGACCTATTCTTGCTTTGATTTAGAGCAATTTCAAAATCAGACCGAAGCTGAGATCACATTCTCTTTACAGTATACCTATAATATATAACAACAAGCATGTAGTGCCAGTTAAAATAAATATTGTTGCAAAATAAACAAATCCCTTTAGTTTTCTTTTGATCATATCAAAACCCCTATATAAATTTCTCAAACTGAAATGGGGCTCAACAGACAGGTTGAAAAGGTAGAAAGCTGGTCAGTTCAGTATTAGAGAAAACTGTGTTGAGGTTTAATTTCACACTTTTAAAGCAGATCAAGATCCTTAGAAAACATCACTTATAGGCAGAATAAGCATTTCTATTATTGAAAATATTAATGATTTCTTGTTTAATTATTGTGGCATTAAAAACCATGGGCAAGAAAGAAAAACACCAGATTCACTTGTTTCCCAACTGAAGAGTGTGACTTCACAAGTAAATCCCCCTAACACAACAGAGATAGGAGTAGCTAATATGTATGTTATTATCTTTACATGGCAGGTTATGAGATAGGCATACAGGTACTGAAAACCTTTTTTGATGTCTTAGCCTGAAAATTTGTCATTGCATTCAAAAGCAACACAGTTTAGGATTATTTCCTTCTTTCTGATTGTCGCTACTTTGTATGTCAGACTAGCAAAACCATAACTTTGATCCTGCCTATGAGAGCCTGTATTTCTACATTTGTACACATTTGAAAGATCTGTTACACCACAAAGAGCAACCAATGATAACAGGCAGAAATACAGTCTTTAAAGCCATTCAGTGAACTGAAGATACTGAGCAGTACAGTACAGCTGGCCTCTGTACAATGACAGTGCCGTGTAACTTCTTTCCTAAAATTTCTGAATGTTACTTCTAATTATGGAGATTGAATATACTTCCACACTTCCATTATGAAGCAAACCACAATGGGGTTTTAGCTTCCCAGTAGTAAATACAACAACAAAAAAATAGTAAGATTGCACCCAAGTGTAAGGGAGGTGCAGGTACTGTACGTATGGCTTCCTTTGAAACAGAAACTCTGGGGCAGCCTTGACATACAGGACCCACAATCCATCTTGTCAGGTATTCTGTCTCTTAGACTGAGACTACCATGTCCTTCAGAGAGGGATATGAAGAACTTCAAAACAGACAAGTACCAAATCAGAGGAGCAGTCCTTCCAAGCCACTCACAAAGAGAGGCTCGCTCATGGTCTTTTAAAAACAAGTAAAACTAAGACAAGGTGGCAGTGAGGTGCTTGTTACTGCCAAAGCATTCTCAGTAAACTGCATCATCCATTTTTCAGGCATGTACACTAGAATGTGAAGGAAAGCTGCCTTCTGCCAAAGCCTGGGAGACCTGCAAGGAGCTCCTGCAGCTGGCAAAGCTGGATCTTTCGGAGGATGGCAACATTGCTCCAGGAGACAAGAAAGAGCTGGATGAGAACCATTTGCTTGCGAAGAAGTACGGAGGCTTCATGAAAAGATACGGGGGGTTCATGAAGAAAATGGATGAGCTCTATCGGATAGAACCAGAGGATGAAGCTAACGGAGGAGAAATCCTGGCTAAGAGGTATGGAGGGTTTATGAAGAAAGACTCAGATGACGATGCCCTTGCGAATTCCTCTGATCTGCTGAAGGAGCTTCTAGGAACAGGGGACAACCCTGAAGCGGGGCATTACCGAGAGATAAATGAAAATGACGGGGATGTCAGCAAAAGGTATGGAGGGTTCATGAGAAGCATAAAGCGCAGCCCCGAATTGGAAGATGAAGCCAAAGAGCTGCAGAAGAGATACGGTGGTTTCATGAGAAGAGTGGGCAGGCCAGAATGGTGGCTAGATTACCAGAAACGATACGGTGGGTTTCTTAAGCGCTTCGCCGACTCCATTCTCCCTTCAGAAGAAGATGGGGAAACTTATTCCAAAGAGGTTCCAGAGATGGAAAAGAGATATGGTGGATTTATGAGATTTTAATACCTTCCCTTTTGTCCCAAATGAGAAAGACTGCCTTATTGGTCATAACTTATTGTAACGTGTTGCTTGTACTGTACAGTTTTTTACTGTCCTTGGTTAATGATGCAACCTGTGATTTGTTGTTTCAGGTTCTGTGTTCTTTCAAGTCAAATAACTAATTTCTGTTTTAGTCAAGTTTCAGTCTGTATTGTAGTTTCCATGCTAGAACTATTTTGATTACTGTATTCATTTTCTTTAAAGAGGAAGTACATCTACAGTAGAGTTGCTTAACTGTATATACAATAAATTCTTCATCCTAACTGCATAAATTCTGAAAAGTTATTTATTTTCTCTCAGTCATTTAATCAAATATCACCTAAATTTTTTTAAGCAATCAGAAAAATGTCAACCTCATTTCTGTAATTACAGAATTTGTACTGCACACACAACAGCTGAAACACATTTTATTCTTTAGCTTTCTGTTTCGTAGAATACTAGAATAATAAATATGCTCTAAAGCAAATATAACTGTATTTGCTCTCACAGCTCTCATTTTAACCAGTTAACAGAATAAATGTTTAAAGCCTAAATTTATAATTCATTGTGTTCAGCCAATTCACATGAAAAAAAGAAAATCATGTGTTTGACTTAAAGCACTAAACCCATTTCTCCAGTGCACAACACAATGCCACGTTTGATTAGTTACACCTTTTATATCCATTCAATATAGGATTGTACGGTTGGCCTTAAAGTAATAAAATCTAACTCAAAAAGCGGTAAGTGCAAAATAAACATGACACAAAACTGCATAAAAAAACTTCAAAATCCCAGTTTTACAGAGCACCTGACACATGGTTTTCCATGGAAGAGCTTTGTGTTTTACTTCTCAGCTGGTATAAATCAGTTTGGCACTACTGAAGTATGGGATACTGCTGGTCAGTCTTTTCTGTTTCAAGCAAAGGCCATATAAGTAAATCTGAGAACGAACAGAAAACCCAACACTAACACTGTAGATTCTTTGGCATTTACACAGGTGACACACAAAAGGCCAGCTCCCATTCTAGTGTGTGCTTCCTTCCATAATTCTGACTGTCCCCCTAGACTTCTAGTCTGTGAGCACTTTTTCCCCACCTACTTCTACTAGTTACTTCCCACTTAACATGATAAAAATTACTTTGACCACTGGCACTGACAATAATTTAGTCTCTACAGTCAAAATCTTCAATGCTGTTTAGATACATGATTATTGCTGAAATAGTTTATGGGAGCTAGATGTCTAAAACCATTTGTGCCTCTGCATTCAGTATCTGTATTTCAGTTTTGCACAGTACTCCTATTGACACAAAGGGCAAATTAAGGGTCTGACATTTTTTTTAACTTCAAGTCAACGGGCTGTTCTAGGTACTTAGGACTTTTTAAAATTAAGCTGTGTTTAAATATGCACTTAAAAGCCTCATCACATCCAATTAGTTGTAATGATTTTTAGCTTGGTCCTTAGGGGATGATATAGGTGGTCTGAAATGGCCAAAATCCTACTGAAGTGTTGATAAAACACAAGGCATTCTTTTTCCTTCAGTAAAAAGCAGGGCACCTATTTTCCTCTTTCTGCTGTACGGAATTGATGATACCAAATTTTAAAAGGCAGAAATACAGATGCCTGTAGAAGCTCCATGGCCTTTTCAGGATTCAGTTGTGTTTCCTATCACCTTTCTAGAGAATTCTTCAACATGCCACCAGTCATCGGAAAAATCTTCTTCCTGTTCTTTTCCCCTGTAGCACCTTCCCGTTAGTAGCTGGAGGACACCACTTGGGCTCCTGGAACATACCACCTGAGGAGTTTCATCTACAAGGACCCAGGGCCGTGCACACTGAGACTGCTCTGCAGCACAAGCTCATGCATGGGATACAGGCATCAGCAATGGGTTTGCTTCAAATGTACATTCCAGAGAGAATTAAAATGACAGTGCAGTTGCATCCTTAGTCTTTCACTTCAACATTCATTCAGTTTTCTCTAAAACTTACTTACCTCTAATTTAGTCAGAAAGGCCCTTGCCAGACTTTTGATGATGCAAAACATGTACCAGTTGTTGTCACCCATCCTTTACCGTTAACAGAAACTGGTGATTTAATGAGGAATAAAACTCCGAATGCTCTAGAGATCCAGCAAGTATCTTGCGGAACAAAGTGTTTCGATCTACTAAACCGTCCCATTTATATCAATTTACACAGTAAAAATAGTACTTGATACAAACTTCTAACTGGGATATATGCATGCAAGCCAAAACAGGAGTATGGGCAAGCAAAGTGGAGGAGTAAGTCTCTTTCAAGGTTGAACAGGCAGGTGGCAATGTACATGGAAGGGGGATGCAACTTTGATTCTCTGAATGAAATAACAGAGCTGAATAGTCCTCACTCCTTCCATTATAATTTAAAACCTCTCCAGTCAGACACTTTAATAATTATAATTCAAAAGATGTGAAATTAGAATAAGATCCAATTTCTTCTGTTGAAGTGGAATTTATTATCTTACAACTTTCAGTTATGCCACCACTCAGGGGCTCTCTAACATTAAAGTGTTCTAACATTCTCAGTAATTAGCATTTCAGGTGAAATCAGCTCAAAATGTGTCAGTGAATCAAGCAGGTTTTCCTAAAGTCCACTTTACTATATCACAAATCAAAATTAATGCTGAAGATAGGGTCTGATGGGATGGGAGATGAAAAAGGGCATCTTACTCTTGGTCCAAATTCTGAAAGGGTCCCCTAGTTTTCCTCTTACAATACATTCCTAGAACTGTCACTTCACTGGAAGATTATTGAAACAGCTGCATTGCTTTATATAAATAAAAGCCGAAAGGAGGAAAGCTGTCTGGAAAGAAAATTAATTGCAAGAGTATTCCAAGGGAAGAAATGTCATCCTGGGACCAAAGAATAGACTCTACATTTCCTTTCTCTGGCTTTTATAATTGGCTTGGCATTTTTACATGGCAATCAATATTCCAGAGTATGATCAAATATAGTATCATTGGGCTGAATAATGAATAAGTATAACAAAAACTGAACATGAACAATGAATGCAAGAAGAATCTAAACCAGTGAATGAGATTAATGCCTCTGCATTAGGAACAAAAGGAAGAAAAAGATAGTCTAGTTGAAGTAAGGGAAGTATGAGTTGGGCTTTTTAATAGCAACTAATTAGAGGAAGGAAGAATAAAAAAAGTAATTTTAAAAAAGGATTTCCTGAACCAAATGATGTTCACATACAGGAGCAGATCATGAAGGAGAGAGAAGCTGATGAATACAATGATTTCTGAATACCAAACTGCATTTAGCTGGAGCTCTGCCTGAAAACCTGAGCTTAAATCTTGGGATAATGAGGAAAGGTCATAGAGCCATTCTCACATCTCAGATGAACTTGGCATATTCTATGAGCTGAAATATGCAGAGCATGACTTTGAATTTCCTGGTTTTTTTTCTGGTAAATTAATATGTAGCATGATATACAATAAATATAAATAACCACAAAATTATTATTACAATAATTATTTTGTAATTATGTCTAAATAATTACAATAATTCACTTTATAAAGGTTTATAACCATATCATAAATACAAGTAATTATAACATCAATGTTGTTAGCTGTTTCAGATAATGTTTCCCAAGATAGAATCTTTATAAGAACAGAAACATGTTCTAATTTAATATACAGAAATAAGTATTATTAAACTATGTTCAATATAGACTCTAAATATACACTGGCTCATTTGAATGCTGAAGGGAACTTCAGCATTAACAAGAATCAAAGTTTTCAATGTGTGGTGTATAAGGGCCTCTCTCATTAAGGACGGTTTTGGAGGCCTACATCTAAGACAAAATATTAAAATCATAGAAATACAGTTTATGTATACATCTCAGTGCCACAGAAGGTTTTCTTTACAGCCTTCTTCCTCAAACACTACACAGCTCAGCTGGACACAAACAGCAAGATTCCTTCTTATGCCAACAGGAGCATCCTAGAATTTGCAACTTAAAAAGCAAACGAATGGTTAAGTTCCCTGACCCTAAGTTGCTTTAAGAATTAATTCCTGGCATGAGTTAGCTGGCCTTGAAACATTTTATTTACAGTGATGTTCTGGGATGACCCCAAGGAAAATACCATATTTCTGGCCTTTTAAGGCACTGAAGCAGGATCTAAAAAGTCACATAGAGAACAGTGTAACCACTTCCCTCTCAGAGGCCTAAAACTTTCTTGCTTCTCTTCAGTTCACACCAAGGTGATTCAAGCATCACCAAAGAGATCCCTCTATCTTTGCAGTCTGGTCTCTTTCTCCAAGAGCAGCCACTTTGGCAGTACACAGACCTCATCTCTTCCACTTCTTTGCAGCCCTACCACCTCTCACAGAAATCCCTTTGTCAGCCTCCACTCACAGCTTTGGATGGAATTTCACCACCCACAACATTGAGGTTTACTATCTGACTCAAACCATAAAAGACAATTGTATACATTTAATTGGAGAATGACAGACATCCGGTTCCAAGCCCTAACTGTGGAGGTTGGGTGGCTATTTTTAGATTTTCTGCTTTTAATATTTTGATCCTTTGCTGCCCACAGTATTAGAAGTAGTTATTATACATATCATCAGGAATCCACTGATTACATCAAATCTGTATCATTACTGTATTTCATAATATCATAACTATATTGCAGATGTACTACCACTACTCCACCTACATCATAAGGAGCTATCAGGAACATAGCTGTAAGCAACGAACAAGGTAGCAAAACCAGCTGTAAATCATTAATCTGAGCATTCAATTACTAATCCCATCAGCCTCATTTAAAGCATTTAAACTGACAGTTGCATATCCAATTAACTGTTGCTATAGAAAATGAAAACACTTAGAGGTATTTGACAGGCAAATCTTTACTGGCCCAGCAGGGATTTAGACTGAATTTGTTCAATTAGATTGTGACTTTACCTAAATTGAGCATTTACTGTAATCCTTGCTGAAACCATGGAATGAAATCTCTCAAGGTTAAACAGTCATCACAAAAGCACATCACTCTGCTAAATGATTTGTTAAAAGCACTGCACTGCACTGTTTCCTCAAGGAGAAGGCTGCCATATCCTTGTACACAAATTACGAGTGCATTTCCATAGCTATCCATGTCTGTAGGTATACAGGGACATACATGACCTTCGCCTCTTGCCTTTCTGCTGTTACTCCCTTTCTCAACACAGTTCTCTCCAGCCCAACAGTGAATGCTTGCAAGAGATGCTACCAACCTGTATTTTCCTACTAAATTTAAATGTATGCACTGACTTGC